ATATTCGAAAGATTTTCACTGGTAGATAGATACGTACATATGTACAAGCTTTACGTCTGGTCGACGTTGAGTTTCTCGAAAGTATCTTTTGTTCGTGCTTCTTTCCACTTTGAACTTAGAAACGTAAAAAGGAAGGAATAGAGAAAGAGAGAGAGAGAGAGAGAGAGAGAGAGAGAGAGAGAGAGAAAGAAAGAGGTAGGAAGAAAGATGCATAAAGCGTGAAAAGGACTCTATTTTTCCTTCTTTCATTAACGGCAACGCGTAATAATCTTTCGACTCTTTCGAAATCAACCTCCGTCTGGTCTTCTCGTTTCGCTTCTCTTGTTCTTCCTCCTCCTCCTCATCCTCCTCCTCCCCTTCCTCTTCCTTTTCCTCTTCCTCCTTCTTCTTCTTCTTTTCTTATCTTAGGTATGTACGTACCAACATATATATATATATATATATATATATAGATACTTAGCTCCGATTTAAGCTTGGGCCTCCTTCATAGAAGCCGGAACACACTGTGCCCATGCGTGCACTCACCTCGACTGCTCTACTTTCCGTGTTTGCGATCTTTCTTCTTTTACTTCTTCCTTTTCTTTTTACCGGCACGACCGCCGGCACTGTCTTATTCTTTTTCCATCCCTCCGTTCGTTTCGGAAGAAGATTCTAACGCTCGACGAGAGATGCACTTTTGTATGCCTGTACGAGAAGGCCCATCTAAGTTGCCCTAGGTTCTTTTTTTTTTATTTATTTTTTTTTTTCATATCTTTTCTCTTTCTCCTCTTTTTTCTTCTACTCTTTTTTTCCTCTCCTCTTTTCTCTTCGCGTTCCTTTCTTTTTTTTCTTCCTTTCCCCTTTTATTTCCACACGAAGCGATTCTCGTATCGAGAATTTATTCCCACCCCCCCCCTCTCCCCCTCTTCTTGGCCCCCTTACAAATTTTTCCAGTTCTCGTTAACGGAATCGTCCCTGTTTTTTTTTATTTTTTTCTTTCTTTTTTTTTTTCTTTTTTTTTTCACAAAAATTCAACGAGCAAAGAGAAGAAGAGATGCGAAAGGAGAAACGTTTGAAAGAAACTATCTCGAATGGAAGTAGATGACGACGACGACAACTACACGAACGGCGAAGTCCACGTAGTCACGGGAAATTTTGCTTCTTTTTTTTTTTTTTTTTTTTTTCTTTCGAACGTGAAAATTAATCGAGAAAAGTGCTCGTCACGAACAAAAGAAACGCTTTCGACGATACGTCCGTCGGCGAATCTCTCTTTCTCTCTCTCTCTCTCTCTCTCTCTCTCTCTCTCTCTCTCTCTCTTTCTTTCTCCCTCTCGATTTAATTCCCGAGACGAAATCGATAGAAGAATTTCTCTCTCTCCCACTCTTCTTCTTTCTCTCTCTCTCTTTTTTTTCTCTCTCTTTAGCTGTCCCATCCGCATTTTCCCACTTCAGCAATGATTTTCTCGTTTTTTTTTTTTTATTTTTCAATTTTTTCTCTCGACATCCTGCAAAATCGGAGAAGAATGCCGATAAAGAGCATGTTACTATCGAAAGAGTTTTCAGAGTCTCTCTCTCTCTCTTTCTCTCTCTCTCTCTCTCTCTCTCTCTCGCTTTCTGTCTTCTCTATCTTCCAGCTTGACAAGCAAAAAAATGCAAATGTGACGCAGCTTAAACGATTTTCTCGACCGGACCATTTCCCATCAAAGAAGAATGAGAATTTCAAATCTGATGGAAACGGCGTGCCTCGAGGAAAATAGAAAAAACGAAATAAAGGAAAGAGAAAGAAGATCGCAAAGCCTAGAAAGAATCATCTCTAACTATTCGCATTTAACGACTATTAATACAAAGAGCGTAATCTTTGTCGAAAGCGAGCAAAAACGTTTGATCAGATTCACGCAAACCCTTTGTAGTAGAACACGTTAACGCAAGAATTACTCATGGCATGTGAGCTTATATCCGTAGGGGAATAGTTGTAGAATTGTAACACGATTATACAGTGTACAAAACGAAAGTAATCATTCATTAATATGATTTTATTGTGAACGATAATAAAATAAAATGAAATAAAATATAATAAATCAATTTCTTTCGAGTCATAAAATTTAATGGAATCGATTCGGAAGAGAACGTTTGAACGATCGAACGAACGATGCAAAAGAAAAAGTTTGATGATCTTATACAGAAAACTACGTGAATCCAGGTAACCGTAAGAAATTTCTCCTTTTTCTTTTTCTTTTTTTTTTTTTTTTTTTTCATCGCGAAAGCTACAGACGACGTTTGCGCAAATCGCAGGTTTTGTGCAAACAAGGTGTTTGCACAGTAGCCGGCTCGTCTACTTACCAAGCAACGTCTACTGGATAAAGTTAAACTGAGAGAAACGTGAAGAAGAGCGATAGAGAGAGAGAGAGAGAGAGAGAGAGAGAGAGAGAGAGAGAGAGAGAGAGAGAGAGAGAGAGAGTGAATACTACTCTTCGTCTTTCATCGTAGTAAAGCGAAGAGGGAAAATTGTGTGCACGCAGAAACGCGTAGAGCGTGCTTAAAGGATGGCATCCAGTCACGCCTCGCTCAGAAAGGACGCGCGTGCTTAGGGTGACGCATACATGATGCTTAGGGTGAATAAACCGAAGGGAGATGGACGTCGAGTCACCACCCGTTGTTGAAACAGTGTCTCTCGGAAAGAGAAACGGTACCGCAGACGTGATAGGGTTTAAAAGAGGGGGAGAGAGAGAGAGAGAAAGAATTTTTTATTGAAATTAAAGTAGTTTCTCGTTAGTTTAAAACATCAAATCATATTACACAACGATAAGATAATCATCAAAATTCGAGCGAAGAGAGTAATTAATAATAATAATAATAATATCAATTAATGACATACGATATAATACTGATACGAAAATTTAATCAATAAAAATATTAATTTATAAGAAAATAAAGAAAGATAAATATAAGATAGGAAATCGTTAGAAAATAAATTATATGGTATTAAAAAAGCTTAGTCACGTTGATAAGTCAATCAGTCAAAATGGGATCCGCTAACGAGACAGGAGGAATAATTAGAAGGAAATGAGAACTCCGTGAATCGATGAATGTGTACGTTCATCTTTGCTAAGCGCCTAAATTAAGGCAACCCGTCGTGCTTTAGTGCACGTAGGCGTCTCGATAAAGGGTTCCGTATGTAAACCAAATCCAGGAGGATGGTAATCATTCTGCTGGACCAACCACGTCGCGTATGCATAATTTCTTTTCAAAATGGGTTGTGCATTAAGAAAAAAAAAAAAAAAAAAAAAATCAAACAAATAAAAAATTAAAAAGAAAAAAAAAGAAAAAAAGAACGAACGTCGATGAAAAAATAATTAATCGAAAAAAACACAAAAGAAAAGAAACGAAAAAGGTATACAACATTAAATTGAATAAATATTTTTCATTGAGTTAATTCGTTCGGCTAATCTAATTCATTTTAAATGATAAATTAGATGATTTAAATAGACGATGATCCGTCGGACCGTTTTCAAATACCAACGATCGTCATCTACTTGATCTTTCTACAGTGAAATAAGCGATGCAACTCGAGCGTACACGGAAAAATCCCTTAACCGGTTTTCTCTCTGTCACTGTAGCCCTATCTACCTAGCTAGGTAGGTAGGTGGGTAGGTAGGTAGGTAGGTGGGTAGGTGGGCAAGTAGATAGGTAGGTAGGTACGTTCGTATATAACCTCTAGATTCTCACCAGCACAGCATCGAACATCTGTTCCTCCGGCTCGCTGGAAACACGAGACGTTCTTCGTGCATCGCTACAGAGAAGGGAATTTCTTCCGCGCGTTCTGCCACGATTATCGGAGTCTTCGCATCGCATCCTCGTGTCGGGACTCGTGCAAACGTTTTTCTTCTTTTAAAAGAAAAAAAAAAGCGAGAGAGAAAGAGAAAGAGAGAGAGAGAGAGAGAGAGAGAGAGAGAGAGAGAGAGACAGAGAGAGAGAGAGAGAAAGAATATTTCTTTACTTTTTCATTTATCTATTTCACGTTTATCTTATCCTCTCTACGTGTTTTGTGATCTTTCAAATTCGTAAAACAACTAATACGTTCGAACATGTAACATCGTGTTCGAACATAAGAGATAGATATGGAAATCGCGAATGGAAATTCTTGCAATAATAATGTACCTATTCGTGTACGTACATTTGACGAAATTAAATAACAATATTTTATATCTGTCATTAAATTAGCAACGAATACGTTTTTTTACTTAAACCGACATACGCGGACATGTATTTTTTACATTTTCGTTTTGTTTCTCCGTAATCTTTTTTACGGTACGTCTAAATGAATCGTTTACGATTTAATTAATCAAAATTGTCGTTGACAATTGAATTGAAATGATATGTCGACGTTTGACATATCATTCATGTTTGACATTCACACAAAGGGGTTGCATCAGGGGTTGCCGGCACTCGGCTTGGTTTCCTCTTTTTCTTTTTTTTTCTTTTTGTCCTTTATTAAGAGTATCGATCATCGGAATGTGTAGAATTCGTCCCATTGTTCTCGCGTTGACAGAGAATCTAGCGACGTTTAGTCCACAACGAATCCGTCAACCCAGAGCGGAAAATATTCGAATGAATGACAATAGTTATCGTTATGTTCGAACAATGACGATAATGAGAAAGATCGAAAGAATGTAAAATAACGAAGAATAAGAGATACGAGTCGATCGTGGTATTTTATTATTACAGTTTACATAATGTATATATATATATATATATAATCGAAAGTTTTGTAGCTAGAAATATAATAATTACAGTATTCTTACGATATTTTTCTTGTATAATACATAACATCATACATTTATACATTACGTATAATTGTTAACGTAACGTAAACGCAAAAAACGTAAACGTAAAAATGCGTAAGATTCGTTAAAATACGTGAGAAAAATTCTTTAAATAACTTGTATATATTATATATTTATATGTAATATATATATACTATACGATATTGATATAGATATAATGGAGAAGTATATGAATACAATGATTTGATAAGAATTGTAGAAGAATAAAAAAACGAATGACGAGAATTTGTTATTGAGATATACACGGAGGCAGATTTATTAATGACGATGATAAAGATCTATCGTCGCGTGATTTATAAGAGAAAAAAAATCGTCGAGTATGCGTTGGAAATTTTCATTATCTTCCGTGCTTGTCTGGATCAAAAGAATACCCACGGGATGTTTTTTTTACACGTAGTAGTCATTGCTTTGTCATTCTATCATCTTGAATAATGCACAAGAGAATATCATGCCAAAGAACTGAAAGCAAAAATAAAGGTTTATAATCACAACATTATATAATTTTTCTCTATATTTTTTTTTTTTTTTTTCTTTTCAAATAACTCTCATCGGAATAATGTCATCGATTATCGTAATAACAAGGTATTATTTATATAGACAGTCTTTCTCAAACCTTTTTATCGTGGGGCTCAATACATTTATTTGTAATGTTTATAATTTAGAAATATTTGTGATATAAATGGAATTTTAAAAAATTTTGTTAACTAAAGTCACTGTATATTATTCTCCCGATAAAATTATACATCTCTTACGAATTAATCATTCTTCTCGTTTTTGAGTTAAAACTACAGCTATCATTTCAAAATTGTTTGATATAACGCTAGTAAATAAAATATGAGATTATTGTAATACATTACAAAATGTATACGTAATATTGACGGACAAATCAATGACAACAATATTTACCATGAGACACGCAACAGCAATACCAGCGCCACCCATAACGGCTGCATGCTGTTGCATATAAACTTGCGTTCTGTTTAGGCAACCTTCCAGATAAGCGTTCGATGGATTTACTGTGTCAGTACCGGAACTGCAGTTAAATCGCTAGAAGCATATCAATGGTAAATAACCGGCAGTATCATTTGAGAAAGTTGATCGAGTGAAAGCGTGAGAAAGCGGATAAGATAGAAAAGTATTAGATGAATTAAATAATCGCGAGAGGGAAATTAATGTTGTTTGCTTTGAAATAGTAAACGTTTATAAACACAAACACGATAGATATTATGAATTCACGAGCCCTGACAAAGTCATTGATGAATCATAATAATAGTTATCATTGGTTGATGAAGGACATCTATTTAACCGGCCGTGAACACTTTCGTCGAATTAAACAATTCTTTTATTATCTTGATATTCTTCGAGTTTATAAGTAATTCTTAGGTTTTATGTTTACCTGTCCGGGTTGAACTTCGCGACAACAACTTTGTGGCACAAGGAGACCATGAACTCCCCAATTTCTCCAGGTATATACACCGCAACAATGGAGCTTAAATTTGTAAACAAGATATATATAAGTTTTTTTTTTCGTATTCCGTTCGAAAGCATATCTTTTCTTTTTTGCGTTGTTTTATTTTAGCTACTACTCACCTGACTCTGCGTAGTATCCCAAGCATCACGGATAGATTTGCGATGATCATATAATCTCAGGCTACCGGACATTTCACGTTCCAATGTGTTCAATAATTTTTCACGGAACACATAGCCGAGAACACCGCCAATTAGCATCGTCACGAATAATAAAAACACGATTATGAAATACTGAAAGGTAATAATTATTTTTTATTGGCTTAGATCATTAATAAAAATATCATTGCAATTCAATAAGAACTTACTGTGACCAGCATACATTTGACTTCACGCGACGCACCAACGCATCCAAAGAAAGCGATAATAGCTACCAAAATTCCACCAGCTAATAATACATAAATAGCACCTGTCAACAAATCGTTTCCCACCAATTCGCCTATCCAAGGTACTTTATCGACAAATGCCCATATCGCTAAGCCAGTTATAACGATACCACCGATCTGAAAGTAATAAAAATTAGTTTGATTAAATGGAATTGACATGGGTTAAACTATTAAATTTTATCAGACGATAAAATTTGATCAATACTCACGAAGATGATGAAATTTGTAAAGAACAATGAGTACTTCATAAAACGGCCGCAGCCGTCCATCTCTGTACCGTATCCCATCTTAGATTAATCTCTTGATCTAGTAAAACAACAATAAGTATAAAGAAACGATAATTAAACGTGAGAAAATGAAATTGTTTAAGTATGATGTCGAAACAAATCGAGAAATCGAGAATCTTGTAACACGCAAACGTAACGAATACATACATACATATATATATATATATATATATATATATACATATGTACATACATGCATACATGCATGCATCATGGTGGATACTTTTTTTAAGAAGGAACTATTTTCTCTCTTTCGTTACATTGTTTTTCCTGACACGTTCGACGTGCATGTCCTTAAGAAATTCAGGAACCATTCTATAAATCGTGTATACGTTATCCGAATTAAGATCAATCGCGTAATCCATGGATTATTCTGATTCCTAAAGTCCAAAGAGGACATTTTAACAAGAATATTTCTGTCTACGTTTATATACATACGCATGATTATCGAAGTTATTGCATAAAATTTTTCATTTGCATTCACGATTACGAAAAAAAACCTTAAAACACGTGAAATATTGAACGCCTTTGCGATTCAATCTATATTAAGAATTCTTATGTTCGTATCGTAATGATTTCATATTTCTTTTCTTTTCTTTTCTTTTCTTTGTTTACTATCAAAAATATTTTAATGAAAAACTTCTGCAGGATTTAATGTTATTATATATTTTATCGAATGTCTCAATAATCGATTGCAACTTAAGAACTTGACAAGAATAAATCGTTCTGGATTGATATCAAATAGCTATTCGAAAAGAAACAATCAGTAATATGTACGTGAGTGAATTTACATTGAAATCATGTAGATAGAATAATCAAATAACGTCTCAATGATATTGAATTAGTCATTGCACTTTCGATATCTTCGATGTCTTCCCTATCGTTCGTATTTATTACATTTCGTCCTTATTAATATTAATACTTTATAAATTAATTTTTGTTTCATGTCTATAACAAAATTATGATTAACGGGAAAAAGTCAATATATATTTAAAAAATATAAAAAAACTTTAAAGATATAAAGTAACAATTAATTTTTTTTCACGATAAAATGAAATCAAACTTAATCAATTATGAATATATAAATGTGATAAGTGAGATATATAAATGATTAATTAAATTTTTCTTTGTTTAAATTTTAAAAGAAAATCTTCAATATGAACAGTTGACAGGACAAAAACGATTAATTCTATTTTTAGAAATTTCTTGAACTTCAGTACGGAAACACTTGATTGGCACTTAACTTTTTATACGTAAAATAAATTTCATTAATAGTTGATCTTGATATCACTAAACGACAACAATTTTTATAGTTGATTAATAATAAATAATGTTCAATCTATCTTTTTTTTTTTTTTATAAAGTTAATCGAATTGACCGATATCGTAATAATATTTTAATATAAAAAAGTATATATCATTAATCACGCTCGTAATATTTTATTCTTATTAATTACAATCTTAAATCATCATAATTAATCAATAATTAAACATTCATTTAGATCTCGGAAAGATTCACGTTAGTTTTGATAAAAAGTATGATAATGTTCTAACGTAATAATACACGTGTAATACATTCCTAAGCAGAGTCACTTTAACAATCACGCAACAGTGTTACCTTAAAAAGACGTTATATGAGAGAGAATGAAAGAGAGAAAGAAAGAAAAACGAGAGAGAGAGAGAGAGAGAGAGAGAGAGAGAGAGAGAGAGAGAGACATAGAGAGAGAGAAAGTGAATTCTCCCTTTACATTAAGTAATCCATGGCCACTGTAATATCTAAAGGATAAAAGTATGCGTGAGGACTCAAATTAATAATGGTGATAATTTCATTTATCTTATCTTCTTCTGTCATGAAATTCATATAAGGATTATTACTTCGTTTTTTTTTTATGATTAATCGTCCCTTTTTTTTTCTTTTTCTTTTTTTTTTTTTTAATTATTACAATTTATCATCTGTTCAAATTAGCATCTAAAGAACAAAAAAAAAAAAAGAAGGAAAAAAATATTAGCTCAACTTGGCTCTATCAAAACTATAGTTCTTCCTCGTTTGAATTCTTTCCTTTTCATTTTGTTTCCTCACTTCTATTTCATGCTAAATAAATATATGTTTGTATTATTTCGAACGGACACGTTGCAATTAATAAATAACTCGATTGAGTCATCGCCATTCAGAGAAAATCCTTCGAAAAAAATCTGCTTAATATGAGATCATCATCATTTTTAATACTCGACTCTACGAGGAATTTCCGAAGAGGCATACAAGAATAATAATAATAATAATAATAATAATAATAATAATAATAATAATAATAATAAATTATCGAATATAATTGAAGAAAGTTCGTTAGCATAATTAAAATTATGATAATGTTTGTTATCATTGACAATTATTTCTTTCTTTTTAATCTTTTTTCTTTTTCTTTTTTTTTTTCTTTTCAACATGCTCATAAAAAAAAATAAAAAAAGAAAAATTTGGAAATCGAAAAGTGTTTATTGTAGAACATCGTTAGATCGTCGAAAATCACTATAGAAAGGCTACGAAAGATGAGAGAGAAAAAGAGAGAGAGAGAGGGAGAGAGAAAAGTAGCACAAAAAAAATTCTTCGAAGTATGACACTAAAACCGCACCTGTGGCCAAGACACGTGTGATCATGAACAAACATACGCGCGGGAGTTTCGAAAGAGAGAAAGAAAAATAGATGGAAAAAAATATGACTTCTTTGTAAACGTTGATTGAATTGGTTTGCATTTAGCCAATCAAACGATCTCTAATATATGTACGTAGTGTACTACGTATAAAATTTCCCCGTTACGTTTGTTTTACAAACTTAATTTTTTTTTTCTTTTTTTTTTTTCTTTTTTTTTATTTTAATTTCATTTCATTCAAATATTATGTCATCATATTAACATTTCTCTTAACTAATGAATCCTTTTCAATCAATGTGCGCTTTTCTTTTTCTTACGAATAAAATTGAGTTATTTTTATATTCGTAAAACGATCATATAACGATCGTCGAATTCGGTGTGAAGTAAACTTAAAACTCGTGCTGCTTGTTTTTAATTTTATATGCAACGAATTTAAATATTAATTTAAGCCTCTTAAATTAATCTTAGAAAAGTACGAGAACATTATTGAGAATCTAATTCAACTAATTTGAATAACCTAAGTCTAAGAAAAGTTATTGACCCAGTTTCGTTTTTAAGTCTCGTTCAGAATAACACGTTTTTAATTAAATGTGAGACTTTACTATAAGACTTTCAAAGTAAAATATTTATAATGATCGATGATAAACGTTACAAAAAAAAAAAGAAAAAAAGAAAAAAAAAAGAAAGGAAGAAAGAAAATTTTAATGATTAATCATAGATAATAAAAGTAATTGAAATTTAAAAATTGATTTATAAAACGATCTTAATCTTGCATATATAATCCAAATACATTGTAATTCGGTGTAAAAGCGCCTTTATGTTCACGACCAACGACGATTTCTCAACGATAACTCGTACGTTGTGATACTACTCTAGTATATTACGCGTGAAATGAGATGAAAGTAAAACCGACTGGGGACTCGTACGACTCGTCATAAAAATGCACAGAGCTTAACCAGCAGAAATTTCGTTTCTCGAACGAAACAAGAACAAAATGAAGTTTAAACAAAAAAAAAAAAACAAAAAAAAAAAAGAAAAAGAAAAGGACAAAGAAAAAGGAAAAGAGAAACCTCCCATTAACATCGTCAACAACTTGACGAAATACGATCAGATAAATTACAATGTCAAAAATACTCACTTTCTTGGTTCTCTTCTCGAACGATCCCAAGCAGCGTTTTCCAAACGTCAAATGATTATCGAGTGAATACAAAAAAAAAAAAAAAAAAAAAAGAAAAAACAAATTTATATTTCTTCTTTCAAATCGTAAACGTCCTTTCTCCTTCCGTCCTTTCTCTTACCGGTTCTCTTAGCCCTTTTCGACGATGTCCAATGGCTACGGTTTCAACCGGTTTCGAAATTCAATCGAGGTGCGATCACTTCTCGCGTACATACGATTTTAAATCTCTCTTTCTCCTTCTCTCACTCTCTGTCTCACTCTTTTCGTCGAAAAATACACGAAACTATATAATCGACGAATCGAAGAATAAACGACGATGATAATCGACGTATATAAATGAGAACAGATCGTTGATTATATTGGACGATTTTTCTTTTTTTCTTCTATTTTTATTTTTTTTTTTCTTTTTTTTTTTTTTGTATATTTTTGTATTCGGTTTTTCTTTTTTTCTTTTTTTTTTTTCAATTTTAACTCTTTAATATCTCCTTTGAAAGACAATTTGTATGATTGTATGATTTAAATATTAATTAATCGAATGCTCAAATAGAATGATCAACAGTACGGCAATGAGGAGGAAAAAAAACGATGGGACACTAATACGTGATGACGATAACAACACTCTCTTAGTACTGCATGTCTGTCCGCGGAAAATACACGCTCTCGCTCTCCCTCGAGGTCGCCGAAAGTGGGGAACCGTTCTCCTCACGTCCTTCGCAACGAAGACGCGATCTGAAAATGCGTTACATTGCGCGTATCCTTCCCCTCTTCGTATATCCCCCCCCTCTCTTACCATCCAATACCATTCTTCTCATCATTTCTATTTTGCTCTCTCTTTACTCTCTCCAATCGCCTTTAATACGCACAAAACGAATCAACGTTCTCTATTCGAATAGCCCGCGAACGATCGATCGATCGCAATGTTTATTATCTATTACTCGATCTTCTCATCTATTTTTCTGCTTTCTCTTTTTTCTTTCTATCTTTCTTTCTTTCTTTTTTTCTTTCTTTCTCTCTTTTATCCTTCGTACTATAACCTAATTATAATATCTTATAATACGAAATATCAAATGGGTATGTTAAGAATCGATCGATAAAGAAGAATGATCACTTATCGATAAATTTTCGTAAACGTAGAAAACAAAGATGGCGGACGATCATTTACAACGTTCGTTTCGAAGATCATCGTTTCGTTCGTTCTTTGTTATCGTAATTTGTCATTTTTAACGTGAATACAACGTAGTTTGATTTCTTAAGACCGTCGATATCTTTTACTGTTTGCGTGTTTATTTTTTTATGTGAAAAAAGCGAGGACTCGTTACGCTCGATGGTAATCTCATTATTTTTTCGTTTTTCACTTTTCGAGGACGTGCACGCAATTTGATGAATCGTAGTGAAGGATTTTCGTGGCGCGAGTATTTACTCGTTCGTGGTCTATTATTTCCCTTGGAAATAATTGTTTCAGCAGGGTCATACGATTCAAAGAGAGAGGGAGAGAGAGAGAGAGAGAGAAAAAAAGAAAGGTTATGAGACGAGAGACATTGATGATTCTCTTCTACGCTTTACTTTATTCTTATAGAAATTTCATCGATCTATGTTTCACTCATTATAATGTTTTCAAAGTTACGAAAAAGAGTATTAATGATATTAAAAAAATGATAATCATGTTAATTTTTTCATCGATTTCATATATTTTTATAAAAAAAAAGTTCTTCATTGTTCTTATGGGAGTTAGTTATGGGATCGATAAAGTTTATTCGAACGATAAAAGAACTTTCTCCTTTGAATGGAAATCGACAGATATTCGTCACGATTCGTTCAATCGTATGTACATATTTATGTACTTACGTACATATACGAGAGCATGATCAAACGAATAGTAAAAGACCATTAAAGAAGAAATATCAAAATTACGATGAAAAAAGGAATAAAAGGAAAAGCAATATATCTATGTGAAAACAATCTCAATATGGGTGGGTCGTATGTTCTTCGAGATGTTTTCACGTTTCCGCTATTCGCAAAGTTGATTTCCACGCGATCAGTATAATTACATTATTCGTTTAAACAGAACTACGCCCAAGTAATAATCGTAAATCTAAATTGGACAAATCAACGATTAACCTTATAATCTTTTATCTATCATAGTAATTACATAGGTGTAATAGCTTTGACCAAATTAATTCGTTACGAAATTTATATTATTCGCGTGGAATACGTAAGCACGAATTTGGTAAGATAAATTAGCCATCGATCGATCGAATTAAATTATTTTTCTTTCATTTAGAAAAATTATAACATTTTGCCAATTATTTCCATTGAATGTAATATTATAATATGGAAGATTAATTTAAATAGAAATATAGGTTATATTTATGCTATTCATCGTCTTTTGCTTGAAGCGTGTATGACTTTAGCGACACGTACGGACAAAATGCGAACTAAAAGCGCAAGCTAGTCTCATTGCGTGAGTATCGTATAGTGTATATATATATATATCTCTACATATATATGATAATCGGATTCGTATAGGTTAAAGTAGGTAGTGTTACATAATACTTATATATTATATCATTTTAATATAAATTAAAATATAGGACGTATCTATCGATCATGGGTAATCATGTGTATCAGATTTGTTGACAGTTCACGCGAAAAACGATCACAAGATAACAACACTTTCTTCTTTTGTTATTATACATTATCATCATCGTAATAATAATAGTAATATTACTATTACGATTACAATTTACGTAATAATAGATAGTAATAGGAATAATATAAAATGGATTATTATTCCTGCAGAAGAAATCATAAAAAAAAAAAAGAAAAAAAAAAGCGCTTAGAGAAAAATCTCGTAGATGGTGCGTAAACGAACTCGTTTATTTTTATAAAAATAATATATAACATGCAAGTATATATTTATTGATTATTATTTTTGATAAAATAATCGACAAATTTATATACTTTATGTACATTTGTTATCGAACAAAATTATATCGTTGTTGCATATTTTCTACCACAGATCATCGTGAAATTTAACATATAATCATCAGTCGAAAAAATAAATATAAGAAATTAGTATAGTAACCTTTTATTGAACTATGTGGAAAACAAAATGATAAATTAATTCATTACATTAGTTTACATCGATATAAAATAAAATTAACAAAATCATCGAATCTACGATCCATGAATTATGAATTTAAATGCTCGATAATCTGTTACACATTCTTTACAATATCTTTGCATCTTTGATATATATAATATATAAAAAAAAAAAAAATTACAAATTTTTCAAAAATTTAATCATATCTCTGACAACTTAGATTCATCTACATGAACACGTATTTTCTTATATTTGCGTTAAAATATTCTGTCCTAGTTAAACTTTCGTCTTTAAAAAGACACCTTTGTTCGTTAAAATCGATAAAGAAATTATGCCTGCTCTCCATTATTGTCATAAACTGTTATAAAACCGAGTTTGATGAATAGCATTAATAATCAATTATAACAGGTTATGTTAATTTGAGATCAATCGAATTATTACGTCACTATCGATTATTGGATTCTCATTTGTTTTGCGATAAATAAATTTTATTTTAACTTTAACAAGATATTATTTGCTTAAAAACATTTTTTTGTCAAAAAAGAAATCTGAATAGTCGGCATTGTATTTTCTGTTTATTATAAAAAAAAAATCTAGACAGTCTTGTCCGGAATACAGAATATAAGTCTTCCTGCTGTCTTTCATAGCATTCGAATGACCTACTTTTGAAAACGTTTATGATCTTAGCATTACGAAGAAAATTATTTTTGGATGGAGCATATTATGTACGTATAATATTCTCTTCGATCAATTCAATTCTTAATAAATGACGTATGTATGAGTCGATACTTGTTCTTCGTAAATTCTTATTGAAATTAAATCGAGTTATTTTTTTTTTTTTTTTTTTTTTTTTTTTTTTTTTTTTTTTTTTTTTTTTTTTTTTTTTTTTTTTTTTTTTTTTTTTTAGAAATCTATTTAAAAACATGGAAGAAAATAATCAATTATTGTTAAGAATTTGAATATCTAATCTGTGATAGTTTAAAGTTCGATGTAATTAAATTATATTATTAAATAACCAATTAATCAAGATCGATTTTTATCGAGTTTACGAAAGTTTCAACAATTGCAAAGAGTTATGAATTATAATTCTATTGGTATTTCTCAATTGAACGTTACGTACTATGAAATACATTGAAATTTGGATATAATTTCTCATTTAAAAAAAAAAAAAAAGCATTTATCGAAATCTTGAAATCGTACATGCAAAAAAAAAAGTACATCAATTTAATAATAAACCATCTGTAATAGCGCAGTACGAGAAGATAATTTCAAAATGAAATCCATTCGATTGGAAATTATTTAGCGCGACATCTGTCGTTGGATCTTGATGATCGATGCTACGTTTTCAAGATGGTGGCAGACGAGTTAGATTTTAGTAGGCGCGGTTCTTTCGTTCGATCATTCTTTAAAATTGCACAGTAGCAAGACATATAAGAATCGTCGAAGAAAAAACATAAAAATATTACGTTCTTGTAATATCTCAACGGAATATCCAAAATTTTTAACTCTGATTTATAGTGTCAGCTGATAAAATGTTTACCAACGTTTCTGCAAATGCATTGTCTATATCTCTTACGCGAGATATTTTGTAGTCTAGATATTTGTACTAAAGGATTCGTAAAAAAACTAAACGATAAAAGTACAATCCTTTAATATTAAAGAATTCCTTTATGTAAGAAAAGTGACTGTGGGTACCATGGAAAAGTTAAAAGATCATGGCTGGTAAGTTACTATTGCTTCCCTGTCTCAAGGTCTCTAGAAATATATAAATATTTTGTTGAAGTATCATATGTATATATAAATATATATATATATATATATATATATATATATATATATATATATATATGTATATATATATTAGCATTAAAGTAACGTTGTTCGATGAAGCATCGTAAAATTGAACTGAATATTTGTATCAGGTACCTTTCTAACCATGGATTTAATCTTGTCAGCGATTCTGGAAATATCAATGACTTAGAGAAAATATTGAGACGTTGTCTAGATGTAAGTCTATGAAATGAGATCTGATTAATAATAATCAATATCGATTTTTTTCTTTGTCTATAAATCTTTGTATTATTATTTGATAGCTCGATCTAAAGGAAATTGGTAGTGGTCAAGGTGATATTCATCAAGGAAATATTGTATTACAAATACAAAAATTACGTAATGTTGCTGCCCCTAAAAGTAATGAAGAATCTCGTGGTGCACCGCGTATGTTAAAATTATCATTAACCGATGGTAAAAATAATTATCAAGCTGTAGAAATTGAATCACTTTCTTCCATAAGGTAACCAATAATGTAAAGGTATTCAAGCCTGAATTTAAATGTTATTTAATGAGGCTTGTGTATTCTTTTATAGTTTAAACACACCTCCTGGTACAAAACTATTGCTCAAGTCAGGAAGTATACCCATGTCACATGGAATTATTTTGTTAAAACCCTCGCACATAAGTCAACTATTAGGAGGAAGAGTATCGAGTCTTGTAGAGAAATGGGAATTAAATAAAGTAAATAGAAATATATATTAGTTTTTTTGTTTTTATAACAATTATATTAATTATATTTATATTTGTTTCTAAGTGAAATATTCATTGATGTTTCATTATAGAAATTAGCACATCATTCAAGAGTAAGATCCGCGGAGGAAGGTGGTCCTCCACCATGGATACCATTTGGAAAAAAGATTATAAAAATTTCTGATCGTGATAAAAATTTCAAAGCAATAGCAGAAAAGGATAAATCTAGTAAAGAAAATGCAGAATTTGAAGCACAGCGTAAAGATGCAATAGCTGAGGCTGCTAAGCAAGGTAGCAAAAAAGTTTTTGGTGGTGGAAATAAACAGGTTAGTTTTGGTAGGGTATAATCTTTTTTTTTTCTCACATCAATTTATTCCTTTATTGATTATATTATTATCATTTTATCTTATCAGCTATTAGATCATAGTGTACAAAGGATAGTAGAACAAGGATTTTCCATAGAACAAGCTGAATATGCTTTGCGCGTAAACAGAAATAATGTTGATAAAGCAATCAAAAGTTTACAAAGAACTAATAATAAACACAAGTATATTTCATTCTTTTTATAATATATAGTTAATTATTTAAATATTTTATAATTATTTTATATTTATAATAGAGAGTCAAGGGAACCAAGAGAACCAAGAAGTAAACGTTTTGATAAAAAATCTGAGGAAAGTAAACCAAGCAGTGGGAAAATATCTTTATTTGATTTTCTTGAGGACAAATTGCCAATTCAACCGGAGCCAATAGAAACTACTCAAAATAATTATGTACAAAATAATGAAAATAATGTTGAACGTCTCGAATCAAAAGCAGATACACATAATGCTAGAGGAGGACGGTATGTGGATATTATAAAATAATAAAATAGTTTAGAAAGAAAATTAGATTGTATATTTTCTGTTGCATTATAGATCTCAAAGAGGAGGTCGTGGGTATCAAGCTCCACCAAGACATAGTGAAGAAAATAAGGCAAATAAAAGATTAAATAATAATAATAATTCTGGTACTTCACAATACTCGCAGTACAATGGAAATAGTAATACTCAACAAAGTAAACCACCAAGATTTCAACGAAATCAGGATACTCATGGTTACTATCATCAAGACAATGGAAATAGAACTGGTCCTCAAAAGAATCAACATAATGAATATAAAAATTCTCTTCCTCAATCACATTCTGGTATTGGATATACCGATGACAGTGGTGGTTGTCATAAAAATCAACATGAGCAACAAGGAAAAAATTCTTCTAATAATAGAAATTATAATCATTACGAATCAGAAACTAGGAATAGACACCTTGCTGATAATTCCTATAACAGACACAATCGAGTACAAGAGACAGGAACTAGAATTTATGGAGCAAATACACCCGATAGGAATTATAGAAATCAGTTAAATAAATATCAATTAAATGATAATGCGAGTAATAGGGAAAACGTTGGATCTACTGCTCACAAAAATGAAAATCATAATTTAAATAATCAAAGTACCAATGTTCCTGTCAGTACTCCATGGGTATGGCAAATAGGTGATAAGTGTATGGCTAAGTATTGGGAAGATAACAGAGTATGTTATTTATTATTTTATTATTTATTTATATTCTCGTATAACAAAATAATTATTTTTTTTCTTTTATTTTTTTTTATACTTTTATTATATAGTATTATAATGCTGAAGTAACTGCCGTATCTGAAAGGACGTGCGTTGTACAATTTAAAGGTTTCGAAAATTACGAAGAAGTGCTTCAAGTAGATTGTATACCTATAACGGAAGACATTCATATGGTATTGTAGTTGTAATATTAGAATAACTTTATGTATTTGAAATATTTCTATATTAATGTATTATTGAATTAAAATATGTCGTAGGAAAAGAATGATCGAGGAAGGGATCAAAGAGCAAATAATAGACAAACTCGAAATGAGCAAAGTCAAAATAACATTGCAGGTTAGTGATATAGTATTGTTTTATATCAAATTTTCTGTACATATACTTAATGAAAATAATTTTTATAGCTGGTATGGAGTTCCGTAGAAGCGGCAATGGACCTAGTTCTGGTAATAAAGGTTATAGTAAGAAGAGAGGTCCAGTACGTAGTACTCAGCCAATCTATCAGCCACCGGCACAACGAAATCATTATTCCATGCCAACCAATATACAAAATAATTCTCTACTCTAATGTGTGTAGTATCAATAATTTTCTTTAGAAAAGTAAAGGAAGCTCTACTGAATATTCAGTCATAGTTTTGCTGCTGGTTCAAGACTGACTCTATGGAGCACCACATACTTTCCATATGTGCAGAGATAAATTCTACATGTGCAAGTCCGTAGGTTATTTAAGGAATAATTAAATGAATTTTTTTGTGTGGCAAATGATTTGTACTCAACGTTGAGATTCAATATGTAATAACTGTATAATTATGATACAAATTGTTTCCTTATGTGGTATGTGAAGAAAATGGAAGCTAACACTTCAAAAAAAAAAATATATATATATCGATACTAAAATATTATTCCATATTCCTAATCACATAACACATAATTGAGTTGAGATGATTAATGTTATCCTTTATATATATATATAAAAGAAAAAAAAAATGAAAATACATCGTCAAAAAGAGTCATAGAAATACTGAATAAATTTTTTTTTTTTTTTTTTTTTTTTTTTTTTTTTTTTTTTTTTTTTTTTTTTAATCTTTTCATCACCTTTTGCTGGTAGTCGTACGCAACTTCAGTGACAGATATGGACAAAAAATATGAACAATAAGCGCAGCAAAGAAACACTACAGTATTAGTCTATAAGATTGAACAAATTATTTCTTTCTCGCATATAACGACGATCGAATTAGTTTGATGAGTTAGAATAAATAGTATTAGATAGGTGAACTTACAATTTATTCTCTCACATTTATGTCCTTTTTTAATGATGGCACATACCTGTCGCTATAATTCATGATAAATATAGGGTATGAATTTATTTTACTATAAAAAATGAATAAAGAATAATAAATATAATTGATATGAAAATTATTGAATACTTATAATATCAAATATTATTTTATATAAATATAAATGTATTTCTTTTTCTACTTCTTGACATTATTTTCATTATTATATTATATATAATATATATATATATATATATATATATATATATATATATGTATATAATTACTATAGTAAGAGTGATAATACTATATAAAGAGAACTACTACTCCTACAGGAGATATTAATTATATACTAACTGGAGGAGGGTCAGTCCCCGCTTAGGGATAGTAGGACTCACAACATCGGAAACTTCAATCATCATTATTGGATATGACAGTTCGTATTTTATGGCTTTTAGGAATTTAAAAAAAAAACCTTCATTTATATACATGAATTATTTTCAAAAAAAGAATACCATTTTTTGATATAATATTTTTCAAAGAAAATAAAGCTTTTTTTTTTTTAGAAATTCAAAAAAGCCATTTTCTCGATTAAACTTTCAACTTCAAAATGAAATCTTTCTCATTAGATGAATAGATGAGATCTATTCATTATAAAATCAAATGCGATGAACAGCCTTAAAATATGTCTCCCGTTGAAATAATAAAATCAATTAAGTGTCTATTTATTATATCTTCAACATTGCATGATATTTCTAAATAATTATAAATGATTTTCTTTTTCTTTCTTTTATTTAAACGTGACTCATATATACACGTAACTTTTATCTATTACAAAATATAAATACCAAATGTCCGCTAATTTGACCTAACATCAAGACTAAAAGAACATATCAGTCTGTTAATGTAGTTCGTCGTATAAACATCGTAACTTTTCGTAATAATTATTATTTATAGAATATATATATATATACATACATATATATATATATATACATACATATATATATATATATACATACATATATATATATATATATATATATATATATATATATATATATATATATATATAATTAGTGGCATTACTCTTTACATTCATATGTATTATTTAAATTATTAGATTACTACTTTATCGGAGATATACTTTACAAATTAATTTAAGTATTTTATCGTTAGATAGCGTTGTCGTTTACAAATCTTTAGTTCTGATTTCTAGGTTATTACTGGCGCTACGATTTTATTCTATTGAGTTCTTGATAACGTTGTTCGTAATAGAAAAATGGTAAGCAATCTGAACGAGAAGTATTTGATAGTTATTAAATCTATGATACGACTCGTTAGCGTTAAAAGATAATGTGATATCATAATAGACGAAAAATATACGTTTAAGTATATTAGTCAAGGCGTAGTCATCGTATTTGGGTTATAAAAAAAAAAAAAAACAAAAAAAAAAAAAGAAAAATAAAAAAGAACAAACAAACAAAAAACAAATTTTTTTCTACGCAATGGCGAATGATCGAGAAGTTTTGAGAGAAATTTGGGATGGTAAAATTCCCGTTTGTTTTACACTCGATACCGAGGAAACGTGCGAATTACAAGGTCCTGATCCGTTTTATCTTATGGTGCCTAGATTAAGTTATTTTCCAGTGTGCACAGAGAAGGTACTAAAATTTGTTATCTTTTCTGTGTTTTTAATATATTCACATTTATCAATGTTACCGTAGACACGTTGTTTGCGTTGTACAGGTGAGAAAACATTTTATAAAACATATAGAAAGTGATAGCAAACAGGATCATGAAATGTGGTTAGAATTTAATGGAATTCCATTAAAGTGGCACTATCCCATTGGTGTATTATTAGATATATATTCGAATGACATTCAATTACCATGGAATATTGTTGTTCATTTTGATAAATTTCCAGAAAATGTCTTGATGCATTGTCAGAACAAGTATGTAAATCTTTCATAGGTTATAATATGATATTTTTGAAAGTGTTAAAGTCAATATGTAAAAATTGGATTCCAGAGAAGTTGTAGAATCACATTTTCTTGCTTGCGTTAAAGAGGCAGATGTTTTAAAACATAGAGGACAGATTGTGTCGGCTATGCAAAAAAAGGAACACAGCAGTTTATGGAATGGATTAATTACCGATAAATTCGATCAATTTTGGTCTATAAATCGAAGATTAATGGAAGCAGCTAATAGCGAAGAAGGATTCAAATATATCCCTTTTCGATGCTACACAAGCGAGGATAAATATATTCAAAAGCTTGTTAAACCAGTTAATGAAGAAGGCCAAAGGAAAACGTTGAAACATTTATTGAACGAAGTATTTCCGGATCAAGAAAATGGTATGTACTAATAGATTATTTCTATTATTACTTAAAAAAAAAAAAAAAAAAAAAAAAAAAAAAGATAACCTTTTAATTTAGATTTTATATCTTGTAGTTGAAGTGCGTACTCATGGAATTATACCATCACCGGAGACACCATTGCAATGGATGTCAGAACATTTAAGCTATCCTGATAATTTTCTTCATTTAGTTGTGACTTCTTCATAACCTATATTGAAGAGATGTGATAAACTATAACTTCAGTGTTATTATTTAATATTGCTGGTGATCATTTAGAAAAGATCCTTGTATCATGGATCTTCTCTTTAAAAATACAGATTTTATTTTTTATTTTTTATTTATTTTCTAATAAATGTCAGATGGTACATTTTGCCTCTTATTATAAGCAATAGAAATGTACTGCTTTGGTTTTATACATGTTTGTATAAGGGAAGCAAGGGAAAATAATTTATTTATTAATAGCTAATAAAATCTGTCTGATAAAGCAGATTTTAACGTGGATCAATTGTTCTTACCAATTAAATCGTTCGTATTTCGTAAAAATCCGTATCCGTGCATTATGATGTATTACGTATAAAATTGTTTGTAAAATAATTTAAAGAATATTTGATATTTAAATTTGAAGAAATCAATATATATTAATTTATTATGTATGTATAAAAGATATAATATTTACGTCATATAATATTTACGAATATATTTATTTAATTATTTTTAACATGATTTAAGCTATAGTACAATTCTCATGAGGCTTACGATACATTCTCAATATTCGCAATGGCAAAGGATCACTTACTTCTGAAACTTCGAGAGGTCTACGTATTATTACCGGTTGATTTCCATAATTACTATACTCCATTGTTCTACGACTTGCTCCAAAGCTCAAATAGTTTACTTCTTTTTTGCTCTGATGTTCCTATAATAAAAAGTTAAGGTAAGCGATTCAAAAATTCAATTCTTTGGTAACGAAATAATGTAAGATAATGAAAATCTATTCATTATGCCAAACTTATGAATTTACTTTAAATATAACTAATGCCGTATCCTGATATCTTTTCCGTATATCCTCTTTCGTCAATAGAAGATCGTGTTCAGGTGATTCATATCGTGTAGTCATTTACGATCTTCGAATGTACTGTGTCTTTCTATAATCGTTATTTAATCCATTAACAATGCAATTTTAATTCCAGATATATTGATCATGGAACGATATCCTTTGATTTTTCTTTTGCGAACTGAAAAAAAGAAAGAAAAAGGAAAAAAAAAAGATCACTAAAAGATTTTCTAAGAAAATTAATCGATATATTATTAGTTTCGATAGCGAATCTTTCGTATCTCCTGATTGATGTTTCCTCGAAGAAAAGGATTAAGTCAAAGATGAAAAAGAAACGAGCAGAGGAGAGAAGGGAAAAGGGCAGAAAGAAGTTAAGAAAGGCACGAGCGTAGGATAAAAATATATACGTACAACTTCGGCGTTGCCTTTCGCAACGACAGAAACGAGACAAACGACGCTTTTTCTACTATACCGAGGGAAGGATCACGATGCGTGCCTTTGTCTCCATCTTTCTCTCCTCTCTCTCTCTTTCTCTTCATCTCTGTCGTTATGCGCCTTCAAGAACGCGTGTTCTCGCTTGTCCCTATCTCTTTGAGTGCAAGTGCGCTTTATAATTAGCCGCCATCGTGAAAATGACTCTCGAGAGCGGCAGGAGCGTTCACTGAAGGTTTTCCCAGTCAAATTGCTGCTCGAATGTGACGGTCGTTTTGATGTCACGACTTAAATTATTCCACTCTAATCGCGGTTCTTCCTCGGCTATCCTTTGGTATGTATTCGCTTGGTTGCGTTACTTTTTGTCGACTTTTTCAAGGAAAAGTTGAGAAAAACTTCTCTTCCTTTCGTTTTCTTTTTTTCTTTCCTTTTTTTCTTTTTTAGATTTTACAGAAAATTGAAAAAAACGTAAGATATATATATATATATATATAAGAAGAAACAAAGAGAGACTATAGTTTGTGCAGCATGCAGAAATGTGTTTTGGAGATTAATAACAAAGTACTTTTATTTTGAGATTTTTTGTTTTATCTTTTTCTTTTCTTTTCTTTTCTTTTCTTTTTCTTTTTTTCCTTACCCGTAGAAAGAAGGATCGACTCGAAGAAGACTAGAAGAATAATTATAGGAGAGTGAATCTTAGTTGTACTACCGATCACCCCCTTGCTTTGCTACGGACAGAATCAGTCACGTTACTTGAAGCTTTGGAATAGAGCCAGAAAACATTTTGTATATTCCTTTTGAATTTCCGGTGGACAAATAACATTTCTAGATTTATTAGAAAGATTTTCTCTTATCTCTATTTCTATTTAATTTTCTTTTTTTCTTCTATTGTATAGGTATAGATTATTCTCTCTTCCCCTTCCCCCCGCCTCGCCCCTTCCCCCACGCGCTCCCGTTTTTATAGAAAAAAATGATTTTATAATCGACAAGGGAAATCTTTGAAAAATGAATAAGAATCCGGAAACAATTCTTAATTTCTTTCATTGAATATAATTTCTTTTGATTAATTATTTATTACAAGACTCGTCATTACGAGTTCGTTCAATTCTATGGAATATTTTTTTACGTGCCGGTGCATCCTTTCTAATTGCATAGGGGAAAAAAAAAAAGAAAAAAAAAAGAAAAAGAAATGTAAAAAGGATTTCAAACATTTCACCGAACGAATTGAATTCTTAATTATTAATTATATTCTCTATGTGACTCCTCGTCATTGAATACTGACGCTCGATCCTATGGAATATTTTTCTACGTGCCAGTGCATCCTTCCTAATTGCATTGCACCAGTCTGTGACATTTATTGGCGTTGATTGACGCGTTGCATCAGTCATGCTCTACGATTCAAGGTTCGACTTTTGTGCGCGTGCGCGCGGGCTATATACACCCGCGTTCATATACAGTGGCCTCAATAAAAACGAGTGGTATTATTTATCATCGCGATATATGTATAACGTCGTAGGTTTTGGCAATCGGTCTTTGCTTGGTCGTCGTCCTCGTAGACGAGCATGTAGATCGTAAGAAAAACAAACTTTAAACATGAAAATAATCGATTGGAATTTACGAAATCGATTTATTCAAAGACGAATTATGCATTTCCTAAACTTTACTTCAAACTTTTTCTTTCTTCTGCAATTTAATTCAATTATCGACATTGAAATTTAAATATTCTATTTCATGCACATTTTGTATTTCTTCCCGATGACGTTTACGACATTGCAATAAAAATGTACGAATATAAAGAAATATACAAAATATCTAAGAATGAATTTTTATTAAGAAAACTAATGTATGTGTGTGTGTGTGTGTGTGTGTGTGCGCGTACGTGTCACGCGAGTATAGTAATTTTTATCTAATTGGCGTATTGATTACGTTTGTCGAAGTTCAAATGTAATAATAATTAATTATACTATAGAATTTTTATTTTTCCCCGTTCGTAGAAATTTATCATGAACGAGGGACTTAAATCATGTTTGTGGAATCAAACGTGATATCGATAAACTCACGATTCTGCTTTATCTTCGAGAGCAAAGAAGCGATCTACGGATTTCTCGTTCTAGCAGCAGCTTTGTCCGTTTGTTTTCAAAGACGATCATCATTCGACACGTGCGTATTTAACTTATTTGAAACGAGTGAACAGACCGTCGAAACAGATGTCGATCGAAATAAATTAAGTTTCACTTGGTATTTGTTTGATAGCGATAAGAAAAGTTAAACTCGAATTCATTCAGTTAATTTCTAATATTCGTTAATCAAAGAAAAGAAAAAGAAAAAAAGAAAAAAAGAAAGAGAGAGAGATCACATGTACAAAATATTTTTTGTTTCTTCTTCCTCCTCTTTTCTTATACAAAATATACAATCAGTATATAATGACGGAGTAAAAGAAATTGTGTTAATAGTACAAACGTAAAAAGAGAGAACGAGGATCAAAGGGTGCCCTCAGATTCTACAAAAAAAAAAAAGGCATCACGTCAATTAAAATCGATATAGTTATAGCTAAGTGAGTATGTATCGTCACGGTGAAAGCGTCAAGTGCTAAGGCGAGACTATGAGCGAGCAAAGCTTCATTCTGTCACATACAAACTTATCTACGTACCTACATATACATACATATATACGTACGTATATAAATATATATGTACACACAAAGATCACCAATCGTTCTTATCTCATAAAGTGGTCACATCATTTTCCAACGAAGAATCGAGCAGAAGTATGACTCTTTTTCCTAGAATCTGACAGCCCATTTTCTTTTTTTACAGATACCGATTGCGTAATCTTCATTAGTGTTTAGTCATTTTTCCAGAAGTCTTTACCTTTACCTTCGTCTAACGTCACGCTCGTGAAAAAAAAAAAAACAAACAAGTAAGCAAGAAAAAAAAAAAAAGGAACAAAAAGACAAAGGAAAAAAGGTCGACGAGTAAAAATTTGAAACTCCAAGACATTTCAATTGTTAGGATTACATTTTTCTTTTTTTTTTTTTTTTTTTTCTTTTAATATATCCATAAACTAGTTTGGAAAAGAAATTTTCTTTAATAAATAAATAAATAAATATTAGTACGATGACATTCAGAACGAACGTCCGTCCTTCGTTCAATAAGAAATTGTACGAGCTTGGCATTATGTATATCTATATACCGATACTTAGAATTTAGTAAGGAACTTTTAAAATGCATCGTGCATTTATCGAATATACTAACGTTTATCATGTGCGTCAACGTGAAGAAGAACGCGCTTGGATACGTTGGGATTTTATTGTGCGTCAATACTTACTACTTCACGCTTATATTCATTATGTGTTAGTGCTTTTCTTTATGTATATTATGTATATACATTACGTACGTATATGCTATACATATACGTATACATATAGGTACCCAAGTGCTTAGCGTGGCGTGCTTAGAAAGTTTAACGAGTACGTGTATGACCGTCGCTCGTTCACGCTGCCAATCGTCCGCGATAACGGAAATAATGCATCGCTGGTGCATCGCTCGTGCAACTTGCAGCCGGTTGACTCTTACTTATCTGTAGTTCTAATGTGTACTCGTAGATCGATCGGCACGAGATCGAGGAATTCGAGAAACTCTCTGTTACTACTTTGAGATATCCTCTCTCTTTCTCCTTCTTTGTGTTTTTTGTTTTGTTTTGTTTTGTTTGTTTGTTTGTTTTTTCTTTTCTTTTTTCAATAGGAGAAGGGAGGAACCATCGGAACGTCGAGTTTTTTCTGGAATTTAAAAAGAAAATATAAATAGCATCTAGATAACATACGAGAAAGATAAAAATTTTCTTTACTTTTCGATATTTTTAATACATCTTAGCGAGATTAGATTTCAAATAATTTTGTTTGTTGTTCTAAGGTTCATTTCTAGGACAGATATTCGAAATAGCGAAATTACTTTCGCTGTTTCGATCGAGTATTCATTCGGAATGTAAATAAAGAGAAAATAGTATTCAAAAGATAATTAATTTGTTGGTATTTTATTTTCCTCTCTTTTTTCTCTGTCTTTCTTTTACAATTACATTCTAAATAATTTATTATAAGAGGCCCTCTTAGAAGACTCTTGAAACTGAAGAAATGAAATTCCTTCGATCGAGATATTCGAAAATAGATATACTCGAAGAAAATGTATCGATACGCTTGTAAAATTTCCTTTCATTTATTATAATTGTTTATTATTTATAATTAAAAAAAAAAAAACATATATCAAATCGTTTTAGGATTATAGGGAAATGGTAAAATAATTGATGAGATAAACACAGATTCTTTTAAAATAATCTCTTATATTTTCTTTTAAATTCGGTAAACCTTCTAACATCTCGTATGAGATCTATGCGTTATTTTCCGTTTATGTGTATACATACATACATATATATATATATACACATAATACAATATTTTTAATACAATGATCTTGCGTTACGTTTCGATTTAAGAGAAGGAAAACTTTATCAGTGGCTTTCTTTTTTGCACCAGATCAGACAGACAATAAGATCGTAATTTTCTCTTTCATTCTGCCTGTCTCTTTCTCTCTCTCTCTCTCTCTCTCTCTCACACACACACACATTCTTCCTCTTCCTCTCGATGAATCACAATGACGGATATGGTCGTTTCGGGCGAATCCCGCCAATGGAAAAGGATACGATCGCGTTCACGAGGACGTGGATAGAAATGTAACGTAAAATATGTATATATGTACACATATATATATATACACACACACACACGCACGCACGCACGCACACATACATACACATATATACATAAACGTTATAAATTTATCATTGTCTTTTTTCTTTTTTTCCTCTCTCTCTCTCTCTCTCTCTCTCTCTCTTTCTCTCTCACATATAAACAAATATACTCTTATTCGTTTCACAAACTTCCATTTTACTTTATCTCATCTCAGATAGTCTCGATCGTTTTTACATTACATAAGGCGATAAAGTTTTTGATTATTATATTATAAATCACACTTTGAAAAGAGTCGTTCGCTTCTCGCATCGAAAGAATCGAATTATTTTTTTCTTTTTTCCTTTATTTACATAAATTAGGAAAAATCAGGACGCTATATGTAAGGGTTGTAAGTAACAAAATGAAGACAGGAAGACGGACATCGTCGTCGTGGTATGATCGATCGACGTTCTTCGAAATTATCGAGCGAACGTAAATACGTGGAATACGACACGAGACAAAGGAATAAAGGGGAAAACCTTTACCGTCTAATATACTTTTTGCTGTATTTCCTGTAACAGGGACAATTTATATTATATTATATTATATTATATTATAAATATACATTAATTCCAACAATTTCCATTGTAATAACTTTCGTTCGATTCTTTCTCAAGACGAGTTAAAAGCGATAAGGCACTGATGATCGAGAGACACTCCCCCTTTTGAACGATTGATAAGTTTTCACGTTTTATTAAAATAGATTTTGTGTTCATTTTAATCGCGCATACACACGCACACACACACATACATACATACATATATATATATATATGAAAGAGAAACAGAAAAAAGAAATATATACTACTTTCGCTATTATCTCACTCGTTGCTACCGATCGAGCATACAATCGTACGATTTTTTGTGCGCTCAAGACAGGAGCGGAATCCTCGCGACGACGTACGACCCTAAAGAGCGGGGGCTCGCCCACGGAACCTCCGTTTATGCACTTAAAAATATTGCTTATATACGCCTTATGCCTCGTTAATAGACTCTTGTGGGCTGCTCGAACATACACTCAGACGCATAAACGCATATATTCGATCTAGAAACACACAAACAGACACGCACATATACATATATGTAAGAGAGTTAACGGATTTCTTTCTCTATCTCTCATTCTTTTTAAAATCCTATCTCTAATTCTTTCTTTCTTTCGTTCTATCAAGCAGGCACACGTACCTTTCCAATCGATCTCGTTGAACTTTATATATATATATATATATATATATATATATATATATATATATATATATATATATATATGTTATATACATATAAAAGTTATTATATACATATATATAACTGTTAAATATGTATATATATATATTATATATATATATATACATATATATATATATATATATATTTATTATGTAAAACGTTATGGCATTATGTAATTCATTATGGCTCATGATTACTCTAAGACTTTATTGTACGTTGCCACCCTTCGTCGGCACCTATTTTTTCTTTTTCTTTTTTTTCTTTTTTTTATCTTTCTTTAGGCGAGTCTAAGGCGAGACTTTTCCATTGTTTTTATTATTATTATTATCATCGTCACGTCGCGACGAATAGTCGAACGATATTCTCGTGATCTCAAAAATTTTGTTCTCTATTTTCTCTCGTTTTTTATTTGAAATTTCATTGACAAAGAAAAGAGAGATATATGAGGATCTCCTGATTAATGCATATATGTGCATATGTAGACATTTTTATTGACTCGTCCTTTTAAATTAGAGAGAGTCGTGTATTAAAAAAAAAAAAAAAAAAAAAAAAAAAGTTATCTCTATTCAATCATAATATCGCAAAGGTGTGATAAACAATTGCATTTAGTGATTTGTTTTAAGAAGTTTCGCGAATTTTTCAATTGCATCAAAACGTGAATCATATTTATTGCTTTCTTCGGCCGATGACGATAAAGATATTTAATCGAAGATTCAGAACAAAGAAAATAAAAGAAAATAAACAAAAAGAAAGAAAGAAAAAAAAAAAAAAAAAAAAAGAAAAAAGAATAAAATAAAGAAAAATGTTGGGCTTATCGATACGATTGTTGGATTGTGGATGTCGAGCTATCGATTTCCGTATTGCAAGGACACTTGTAATAGTAGTTAACAAAAAAGAAGACAAAAAGAGAAAGATATATAGAGAGAGAGAGAGAAAGAGAGAGAGAGAGAGAGAGAGGAAGAAAAATTAACTTCATAATGTCTTTTTTAAATAGATTTCCTTATATATGTATATATGCATGACTCAGTAAACGTATCCTCTTCTGTATCTCTCTCACTCTTTTACCAATTGTCTCTAATGTCGATAATAGTTCTATTCTAATTATAGTATCGTTCGCATATTCGCATAGAAAATTCCAAAGAGTTCTCCTTGCTCATCATAACACGCATATATATATATATATATAATCGTGTTGTAACATAAGCAACTATACATATAAAATATACAGAGTGTATTTTCGATCTGGTAATACAATTGGATAGAGGGTGTAAATCTATACGAGGAAATAAATCGAAAATGTAGTGACATTTTCTTTTTTTTTTCCATACGAGGTTTCATTTCCAATATATAATATAATATAATATATGTTATATTTGTATTTGGTATAATTTCAATGGCGAAAATCAGTAATAAGGATCTTTCTATGTTTACACACGTATATCTCATGTATATATATATATATATATATATATATATATATATATACATATGTCTAACAGATATCATTGTCGTATCTATCTGCATATTGATGTTCGGATTAATAAAATTAGATGATAAAGGATAAATGAAAAATGAAATAATGGAATCTTTTTCTGTCAAAGAAATTTGTTTGTCATTTTTGTTTATTGACATAAAAATGATTGGGAATGACAATGATTTTGTTATTGTTATTGTTTACTAATTTTAAAAAATATAATCAAGCGTGTACGGCATGTCTCCTACTCGACGAATCTTCGGCATCGATTTATTCCTGAATGAAGTCTAACAGGGGAAAAAAATGTCACTCAACATTATTTTCAATTCTTTTCTTTACGTAAATCTATTAGAGCTTTCCTCGTTGTACCATGTAAAATCAAAAATACTCTGTATATAGTCTCGCCTTATTTCGTAATTTCTTTTTTTTTTTTTTCTTTATCCATAGCATTTTTCAGCTCCAACCGCAATTTCATATGTGAGGTACATATACGTCGACAAATTTCAATTTCTTCTTAACGATTGACTACTGTTTAAGGCACGCGACTTTTACATATTTTTTGTGTGATTTTTTTTCTTTTGTTTTTTTGTTATTTTTTTTTTATTTTTTTTTGTTTTTTTTTTTTTTTTTAATATTACACTATACTTATTTACATGTGTAAATCATCATTACGATTAACTCGTTTCGTATTTTGCTTTTGTAGATAATTCGTGACGAGATAATCCAATTGAGATAATCCAAGTAAATGAAAAAAAAAAAAAAAAAAGAAAAAAAAAAGAAAAAAAAAGAAAAGAAAAAAAGAAAAAAAAAAGAAAAAAAAGAAAATGACGCGAGCACGTGTGCACGATAAAGAAAATTTCTTCTATACATATACATATATGTTTCTTCCTTTTTTTTTTTTTTACAGATTCATAGTATAAAATATATATGTTTATATATGCTCCTCAATCTAATATACATATTATAACATAGGTACATATAATTTTCCTTGTGTGTGTGTGTGTGTGTGTGTGTGTGTGCATTAAAACTTGCATATATACATACGCACACACAACACGCACGCGAAAAATGTTTCTCTATGCTCAAAATTAAATCGATGACTAAAAAAAATAAAAGGAAGAAGGAAAAAGAACTAATGAAAAAAAGAAAAAAGAAAAGAAAAAAAAGGAAAGAAAAGGAAAGGAAAGGCACGCAGAGTGATCTTTCTTACGAACGGAAGCAATGGCTGCGCTATTGCTGCTGCGACAAATCCTAATTCTCGGCCATTTTCTTCGCACGCCAATCGTTCTTTCTATTCTCTTTTTCTTTTTCGTTACGTTTTTCTTCTTCTTCTATTTTTTTTCTTCTTCTTCTTTTCTTTTTTTTTTTTTTTTTTTTTTTTTTTTTTTAATTTCTTTACCTTCACTTTCTCGTACAAAAATATCTTCGCTAAAGCCGAGAATCGTCTCTATCTATCTCTATCACTATCTCTATCTCTCTATCTCTCTTTCTCTCCCTCCCCCTCCCTCTCTTTCTCTCTGTCTCTCTTGCACATATTTCCTCTCCAAAATTTCTCCTTATCTTGTGACGATCACGTGGGCAGCTGACATAATTCCATAATTATAGCATGAGTACTCGACCTCTAAACGGCCTAGCTGATAATCACCAGGTTTTAATCTCGGAAAAGTTAGCCGGCTTATTCGGCGTCGAAAAAGTCGGAGGTGATAGTGGAGGGAAAGAGGAAGAGATATTAAGAAGAAGAACTCGAAAGACTCGATCCTTACTCTCGACCAATGGCCGATTACGTTCTTATCGCGACTACGAGGTGGCTGTCGATCCGCGGAAAAGATAAGAACGTTCGTTCGGTGTCGGTCTACGTGTCGTAGATCACGTACAGATCGATCCTTCATCATTTGATGGACCTCTTTCCCTTTTTACCTTGATATTATTATTCGTTGATCGAAAAAATATTATAGCCCTATCGAAAATTGAACTTTTTTCCGTTATATATGTGTATTATGATATATATGTATCTATAATGACTATTATTACGAAATCGTTGCACGTCCCATACACCTGTACTATTCTTCGTAAATAGATAAAATTTATATTGGAAAAATTTGTCAAAAGGAAAAGAAAAAGAAAACTAGAAAGAAATAAACGAAGATGAAGATGCGAATGGTCACGAGGGGCTAAATGTAGTGCGGACTAGCCGGATACCTAATGAACGCGCTCCTAATCGGTTGGAAGTCGGTATACAATGTACTAGGCTGATTCCTCCAAGACAACGGTACTTTAAGATTTAGTTCGAGAGCATAGTCGTGCCCACCTCGGTCCTCGTTCAGATTGCATATACTCTGGCAGTTGTTATTGTCGTGGTTAAGAAGATTCTGACTTTCAAGAGGCGAGAGATCGCGATAAACGCCATTCTCCTTGTTAGGTTTACTTATGGGGTTGTCTAAGTAGGGTTTGAAGAGTATGGCATCTTTACTGTTGGATGTTGGTGGTGGTGGTGGTTGCGGGGCCGGAGGAGTTGGAACAGTACTCGTGACTGGTTCTACGGAGAGTGACGGAGAGACATCGCGGAATCTTTTCGGTTTGACCAGACAGAGTGGCGTCTCCTGCGGCGGCGTTTCGTCTGCGTCCAATCGAAGTCGCTTTGGCGAGGAAGAAAACTCGTCGTAGCAGCAGGATAACGTAGCCGTACATCGTCGTCGTTTCGTTGGCGATTCTTCGGCTGAGGTGTCGCAGTATTCCCGTGGTGATGAGTAGCAGTAGGATGATGGGCCGGTTAAAGAGTCTGCGTAGGAGGACCCTCTGGAGGAGCGTAATTCTTGATAACAAGAGGAATTTGATGTATCCACGCAACACGGATATCCACAGATCCTCGAGGATTCTAATGTGGGCTCCGGCGATAAATCGACTAAACGGTTGTTATAATAAGAAAAAAGTTGTGTTGGAGAAGTAGTCAACTCGCAGCAATGTAACTGTTGACTCTGCGGGACTTGAGGTGGTGGAGATCGTTCAATGTATTCAACGTCGACGCATTCCTCTTCGGCGGCAGACGAAGCAAGGTAATTGGTAGTTCTTAGATCGACTGGTGTGTCCACGGAAATAACCGTTTGATCTTGGCTCGGGCCTAGTCGTTGTCGAGCATTACCCCTTAATGCAATTTCGCCTCTTAATTCGCTCTCCTGGCCAAGCCACTTTTGTACCTGGCGACGATTTATACCAAACTTCCTCGCAGTGGCACGTTGATTTCCTGCTACACCAATGTCCCGATGGAAAGCATCGAGTACGTCGAGTTTAAAGCGCAAAGAGAACGATCTCCTGCGGCCCAGATCGTTCGAAGAAGTTCTGGCCTCGTTCGAAGGGCAACATTCGACAAGACTGTCCATCTCACTATCCGAGCAACTTCCGCTACTTGATCTTGCCGAACTACTTCCAGGCTCGGAATAGGTGCCCTCTTGATCGTCCTCGGGACTTCTGGAGTCCACATGAAATGAACTACGCCGAGCGGGATGAGAATCCACGCAGGAGGATACACCATCTTCCTCCTCGTTTAATCTTGATTCTATTTCATCCTCGTCTATCTCTTCCTTTTTAACTTTAACACCACAGAAGAGCCTTCTTCGTTTCTCCTCTTCGTTCACTTCTTCTTCGAGAACAGTTGAAATATCTCTTCTTCCAACTGTATCGGAAAACTTTTCCGAATTCAAAGATTCTCGAGTATTAAAAAGAACGGTAGACGTGGAATTTCCAGCGCAGCAATCGTTAGCACCTCCTCGCGGAACCTGTTGAGGAGAGAGAGGGAGACTTCGCGTGCACGGAGTCGCCACGGAGTCTGGACTAGCTCGTTCTGTCTTTATCATTGACGGCGTTAAAGCTCTGCCGTAAGCATTTCCGTCCATCGAGGATGAGTCGGCATTACCAAGAGTAGTAGTAGTAGTAGTAGTAGTAATCGTTAACGCACCGACCTCGATCGGTGGGTACGGGAGATCTCGACGGGATGGTCGGAAACACGACGTCAACGTTTCGTATATCTTTGTCTCGCTATCGACATCATAATGAGTACTTTCGAGATCACGCTTACGTTGTTCTTCGACGTTATTCCAATCGTAATAGCTCCTTTCGCGTTCGATCAACGAGGAAACTTGCTGCATTGCTCCATTCTCGATTTCTACGTGACATCGCGGATGTTGGTGTTGATCACGTGGAACGTACCCACCGACGATCGTCATCGTCGTTGTGGTCGTCGTAGCTGGTAAAATGATTTCGGAGGATGGATGCGCATACCGCGGTGATGAGGGCGAATCTCGAGTCAGAGAAGAACGTGGCGGAAGAGGAGGTGGGGCGGGCCGGACGGCCGACTCGTCGCCGTGCAGTCTGGCGAGACCGAGGTTCAAGGCCGGCGTCGGCACCGCTGGAGTCACGCCGGGCATCGTAACCCCTTCCGACGTCGACAACGTCACCTCGTGCTTCGAGATCACCGTTGTCGTTGAAGTAGGCGACGACGACGACGACGACGACGGCGATGACGACAATGACGACGATGATGATGACGACGACGGCGACAACGACGACAATGACGACGACGATGATGACGACGACGACGACGACGACGACGACGACGACGACGACGATGAGGGGGAAGATAATGACGGTGACGACGTCGACACTATCGAGTTTGAATTATTTGTTTCAGCGCAACTGTTCCTCAAATTGTCTTCACACTGCAGCCACTTTTGTATCTGTCGACGATGTATTCCATACTTTCTAGCTGTCGCACGTTGATTACCACGACAATCGATGTCATTCCTATAAGAATCGAGGACCTTGAGCTTGAAGGACGGCGCGAATATGCGTCTGCTGCCCATCACGGCTACCGACTTCCGTACGTTCTGTTGTTGCAATTGTTGCTGTTGCTGCGGTTGCTGTTGCTGCGGTTGCTGCTGTTGCTGTTGATGATGATGGTGAAGTGATCGTTGTTGTTTGCGATGCACCATATTAACTGTAGTTCCTTCTGGAAGTAACTCACTACTGCCACGGGCCATGACGCGAGACAGGCACCTAACGGACAACTATCTCGCACGTCGTTCACGATGAGTCGACGGCGTGTCGACGAATAATCACACGTTTCTTTTTTAACACAATGATAGGACGTGGTACGTTCACGAGGGTGAAACACTATAGGCACTATCAACAACGACGGCAACAAAAACGACAACGACGACGACGATGCACGGGGGTACCTCGACGCGTAACATCGCACGAAGTGGTCTGACCGCACGGAGTACGGAGTTCCTTTTAGGTCTTGGTAGATGCCGTAACTAATTTTCATCCCCTCTACACGTCCGAGAACCGTAGCCGCTTCCCACCGAAACGCTCTTTTCCCCTTCCTTTTGATCTCCCTCTATCTATCTCTTTCTTTCTCACTTCGACTATATCCCCCACCGCTGTTGGTCAGAATGCGACACCGGCGCTCTCTCCGTTTCGCTTTGTCTCTCCTCCTCTCTCCGCCTCTTCTCTTAGCTGTACCCCCTCCGTTCGTCTGGACTTAACTCGGTTCTTCTCGAACGAGCGCGGCCGGCTGGCTGGTCCACCAACAACGTCGTCCACCGTCCGCCGTTCTTCTTTCTCTTCTCTGTGTATTACAGTTGTATGTGTGCTACCGATTCTCTCTCACTCTCTTTCTCTTATACACACATACACACATCCTACTCATACATAACACTGTCGGCCTGTCTCTCTCTCTCTCTCTTCCTCCCTTCCTTTCTCCCCCTCTTTCTCTTACTCGCACTCCGGATCAGCAGGAGCGTAGGCGCCCCACCCGCCGACCCCTCTACCGTCTCGGCCGTTCGCACCTCGCTCTGTAAAGCTCCGCCATATTGCAGGCCCGCTTCCGTCGATGACGCGCGCGGGAAACGTCACAGCGGCGTGACGACGCTTACCCGGCGCCATGTTGTCTGCCGCGCTTTCGTCCAGCCGTCCGCCGTCCGCCACCGCCGCCGCCGCCGCCGCCACCACCACCGCCACTGCCGCCGCCACCGCCACCGCCGCCGTTGCCGCCGCCGTCGCTCTCCCGGTGCACGGCAGCCAGCGCGGAGCCTTCATTTTTGCGGGCCTTTCTCTCCTTTCAACCTCCGTCCTTCTACAAACGAACTACCAGTCTACGTTTTCATACATTTCACGTTCTAATCTCTCTCTCTCTCTCTCTCTTTCTCTCTCTCTCTCCCCCTCCCTCTTTCTCATCTTTCTGTCTTTCTTTAGTTTATCACACTACATGAATTTTCGTTCTCCTTCACAGAGAAGCGGACCGAGAAAGGGGGAACCGTTTCAAGGAACGATGCATTTTGGATAAAATTAGCACACTTGCATCGCCGTATGTATACCCTTCATGTTTCTAAGTCAACCATCTACCCTGGTAGAGAATTGGATTCGTAAAAGAGCCTAATAAGAACGAGTCTCTTTGGACTCGTGAGAATAAGACAGGCTAACCAGGCAGGCGCAAACTCATTCGTTCATTAGTTGAATGATATAACGATGACGTAGGAGGTATCGTGACAAGAGGAGTTGAAAGTAAATAGTATACGTGCATTGGATAGAAAAAGTTCAAATTGATTCTTCTTCACGTACGGTACTTCCTCTTTTTTTCTTTCTTTAAGTTTAACTTCCGCCGGGAGATCTACGGACGATGGATATTGAGAAAATGATAATAAAGAACATACATCGATCTCAGCGCTACGAGAGTGGAATGGGAAAGCTTTGCTTTACGTACATAAAGGAGGTGGTGGTAAACAGAAGTGGAAGAGGTATTAGCGAAGAGAGGTGATGGTCAAAAGGAGGGAATGGGGAGATTTTGCCTTCCAGGAAAATGCCCATGACCGTCTAGGCTTACCGAGCAATGGTAGAGTCATTAAGGTAAAAGTTGTCCCTATTATTAAGTTGGTAGGTCAATGGAATCCGTATTGTCTTTCTATTGATGTCACCGTCATTTTTTCGTCTTACCGTTAAGTTTACCAATTTTACGATGGTACGTAAGACGAGTTTCTTTCGTTATTTCATTCTCTTTACAATAGAGAGGTAACCTTTAGTCGGTGGAAATTGCGGGACTTCTTGGAAATCAGGATACCAGAGGAAGAGAGGGTGGGAGGGGAAGGGGGTGGAGAGAGAGAGAGAGAGAGAGAGAGAGAGATCACGAAATGCTCGCATGAAACACGGATTTCTCGGCGTATGCGCCGCGAAATGAGATCATGTTGTTTTTGTGGCATGGAGTCGACGGTTAATACGTTTAGCTACGCGTCCGCGCGGTTGCCATGCTTCTCTACGTCTTGCGCGTAGGCCAACTCGCGAGGCGATGACGCAAGCTGCGCGTTGGCACGTATACATACTTCTTCGACGAAAGAGAGAAGCGACAAGAGGACACGACGGACGAACGAACGAACAGAGCTGGCTAGCTAGCTAGCTAGCTAGCGATCGACGTGACTTGGAATGGACGGAGAGAAGAGGGAGGGAGGTAGAGGTAGGTAGGTAGGTAGAGAGAGAGAGAGAGAGGTAGATAAAGATAGAGATAGAGAAAGTGAGAAACAAAAGAGAGAGATAAAGAAAAGGGACGGGTGTCGTAAATTTCCACGATTCGCGTCACCAGCTTTTGAGTACAGAATTGCCGATATCCTCCTAGGTAATTCCCAACAGAAAAGTAGCCTTGTCGTCTTCCAAGAATTTTGACGGTTAGATCGGAGTCAGGCTTTCCGAAGGCTTCCGGCCTTCCGATCGACGGCCATGAGAGAGAGGAACACACCTGCTTCGCCGTTCGATCCGACCTTCGTACCGCAACGACTCATCGTTTTGGCATTCGGCGATCGGATTCTCGAGCGATGATTACGATCTTTTCACGCGCCACGGAGAATTTCATCATCATTTCGGATAATCGGATAGATATCGCGAAAAGAATGCTTTCTTATTTTTTACTTGATGCATTTTTCGTTCTCATATAAAATCGTAATCTAAATCCTGTTAAATAATAGAGTTGTTGAACGAAGAGAAAGGATAGATAGAGAAAGGAAGGAGATAGAGAGCGAGAGAGAAAGAGTAGATTGATGCGACGGACGTGGCGCAGCAGCAACGGCAGCGACAGCAGCAGCAACAGCAGCAGCAGCAGCAGCAGCAGCAGCTAAGTCAGACCGGCAGTCGCCTAGCGCGCCACGACGGCTGGCACGGCTCGTCGGATTTGTCCTTGGGATCGAGAAGGTAGGCACAGCCCAAGGAAAGAGATGTGGCAACGTGGCAGGCAGCAGGCAGAGCTCCCCCTCCTTTGTCCGTCGTCGGCCGGTCTTGCCAGACAGGGTGTCGCCAGCTCGGTCGGCCCGGTCGGCCGGGTTTGTGCGAGGGAGAGAGGAGATCGACGGGAGAAAGGAGGAAAGGGGCAGGGGTACAGGCTGTGGCAGCAGGAGGTGGAGGAGGAGGGGGGTTCCGGTATGTGTGCTGCTAGTCGCGGGAAGGGCAAAGCGAATCGTGCTCGTAGAGCGGAGAAGAGAGTCCGGGGATGGATGAGAAGGAAAGAGAGAGAGAGAGAGAGAGAGAGAGAGACAGAGAGAGAACTCCGCTCTCTGCGTATCGTAGGATCGGTCGTGGACCTACATTCACGCGGGTAGCCATGTTTGAAAACTCGCGTCCCGCTGGAATGTGCCTAAGGGGGCCCCTACCCCTCTCTCTTTTTCCTTCCTTCGCCATTCTACGGTCCCGTCGACGATCTTCCGATGCCTTTTGCTTTCCCCTCCATACAAGAGTTGGCGCCCCAAATGGTCGCGTAACCAGAGACGTGCCTCTGGCCTGCCCTGGTCGCGCCAGACTTCTCGGCGCCCAAATGATGTACGTCGACCATTCCCTCTCTTTCTCTCTCTCTCTTTTTCTCTTTTTCTTTCTTCCTCCTACTCATTCTATTCGTCTCGTTCCCATTGCTTTCCTTTTTCTTCCAGCATACGTACGTATACTTATACACCTTCCAATGAAGTCCAAAGAACCGAACACACATTGTTTAACTTTTTGGCACCTTCAATACGGGAATCTTCTTTTATAGTACCAAAGTCGAAGTCCTTTGAAAGAGAACACGTTGGTGTTTCGGCTGTCCCGTAACACATTGTACGAGAAAGGACAGAGGGTACATAGTCAAGGTTCGTAAAAGTTCTTGAGAAGACGAGACCGATCGGCCGTCAGAAAGAGACGTACCGCTTTGTTAACATAAGAGAGGACGATGGCGGTGACGAATTGAATTTTGTCTCAGATCGCAGTTTTTTCTGAATTTTACGACAAGCTTCTGTGCTTACTCGTTTGTCTGCTTTTGCATTTCTGGTTTCAATTGAAATGAATTTTCTAACGAAGTCTCGAACTTTGCGTTGCTCTTTGCGCCGGACTTTGAAAAGACTCCGCTATCAGCTCATACGAGACTTCTTATCTCAAGTTTCCTTTGAAGAAAAAAAAAAAAAAAAAAAAAAAAAAAGAAAAAAAGAAAAGAAAAAAGACAAAAAAAAAATTATTGCTCGAGAAACGATGAGTCTGTCCTTCGTAACCGCACGTACCGTACGGTTATTGTACGTATGTCGTTCGGTAGATTACATCAGTAGCTTGTTAGCTCGATAACTAGTTAATAAAACTAATAAGAGTAATAATAATCCATTCGTTCAATGAAGAGAAAGAGAGAAAGAGAAAGAGTCAATGTTCTCGTTAACGACATGGTAGAGATCGTTCGAATGTTCTCCTTAAATGTTTCCATTTACTTATCCAATAATTAGATATGATAGTTGCGAAAGAAGATAATACGCATCGTACGCGTATTTTCTTTTCGATAGGGTGAAAAGTGAGTTTTT